TCTCTCTTTCTCTCTCTCTTTCTCAGAAGCTCTCTCTTTCTCTTTCTCTCTCTCATATGCTGTCATTATTTCTCTTTTTCTGTGTGTGTGTGTTTGTGTGTGCATATGTATAGCTCTTTAATGAAGTTTAGAGGCCATCTGGCACCCTTTAATAATCAATTACTATGGCATGGTTATCGGTGAAGCCACAGATGCTAGCATTATTTAAGGCATCATTTAGGATATTTCATTTGCTTTCTCTTTCAATTTTCACTAATGTGTAACCATTCAAAGTTGCAGTTAATTGATTTATATTCCATAACATTGGAATAGAGGACTGAAACAGAAGTATTTCTGCTTTGCTTTTTTTAGAATTTGGGAGGGGGGATAGCTCTCCTGAGCTCACCAGTAGGATTCGTGAAACAACCTAAGAATGTTCAAAGTACCATAAAACGACACAGTATTTTGAAGATATTGGGAAGTTCCCTTTTATGTTAGAGATAAAAATTTTATGAAAGATGTTTTGTTTTGTTTTTTATTCAAAGAAATCCCCCCAAAATATCTTACTTAGATCATTTTGATGGTTTTCTCTATATATTTGGAAAAGAATTTTGAAGTGTTTTATAGTGAAATACTCATTCTGATTTAGGCAGATTTCTCTGTTAACTATTTGAAGTAATACTTGATCATTTTCACTAAGTTAATTCCAAATTTTCTACCTCTACACAGACATTATGGTACTGCTTACCCACTTTTAATGGACAGAAAAGGTAGCAAAGGATGAACTTTACTATTTTGAAATGTTTGGAGATTTCTAATTTTTTTCCTTAAACAAAAAACAACATTGACAAAGAGAAATTAGAAGTTAATGAACACATGGGAGTAGAAAAGTAACCCTTAAGAGAGTGAATGCAGTGAATATAATACTTCACTAGAGCAGATCAGTTCCTTGTCTGTGGTCAAGGATATTGAGACACAAAGATTCCTAAACTGTGTAGCTACTGGAGGCACACTCTGTCCTACTCCTTCCAGAGCCTCAGTTCACAAATCTCTTTATGAATATTTGTTCATTGATCTTTATAATATCTAATAGCTCAACTATCCCATGGATCATTACTCTTTTGGTCACCTACTCTGAGAATACAATAAAGAGCAAGGTCCCAGCATTCCCTCTAGAGACCCACGTCTGACTTGCCTCTGTGTTTAGAGTAAGTCAAGACTGACTTTGCATGGAGAACTCTCATTTCATGTTTTATATGAAAACCTTTTAAGCCATCAACTGGGACCAGTGTTCATGAACTTCTTATTCTCATGACCCAAATAAATGAGCTGTTCCT